ACAATAAAACCATTTCTAAACTAAAAACAATTTGCAAGAAAATTTTTGTCTTGGTATATCAACATTTTTGTACTGGCCAATATATAATATATATTCAATAAATATTTAATAAATTATTTGGTAAATAAATTAAATATTCAAATATTTATTTGGTGAAAAAAATCTTATTCAAATATTTGAATATTTAGTGAATATTCGAATATACTATTTATCAAATCAGACCTCTATATATAGTATTATTTTATAATTTTAATATAACTTAAAATTTTACTAAAATATTTCTATTATATTACTATATATATAAAAATGTTTTTTTCATTTTACTGAAATATTTTTGTTTTTCTTTAAGCTATACTCCTTTTTTTTGACCAAGTATTTCCTACTACTCTTTTTATGCTGCCCTGCTTTTCTTCCAAATTTTTTTGACAAAAAGTGGAGATTTGGCTTACCCTTTACAAAAGATTAGCATTGTTTATCTTCTAAATTCAGACTGTCTAGTAGAATGCAACTATGTGTTTGTTTATAGACAAATATAGTGCTACTTTACGAGACTCAGCCTAAGAACTCTAATTATAGCAGCAGGTGGCTTGAGATACGAGTCCTTGGACAGCGGCAGCACCTGGCTCGAGATACAAATTAGAATGAGCAACAGAGCCATCTGAAGTTGGTAGGAGAGTTAGAAAGTAAACTTTAACATTAAGACGAAGCTTTACAAGAGAGATATACAAATATTGCATTTGTTATATAATTTTTATCAACTATGCACAGGTTATAATAGTGCCTTTAGGGTCTTAGATTTCTTTTTATGTTTTTTCTTTTTTAAATTTTTTTTTTCTTTTCTTTGTTTGTTTGTCTTTTTTAGTTATTTTCATAGTTTCTTATTTTAAACTTTTCTCCCTTTTGTCTTGTGCTTCTTGAGAAGAAGGAAGAATTGGAAGGGAAAAGAGGTTCTAAGGTGGGAGCTAAGCTCAGATTATACTATATTTTTAAATGCATCACATCATATATAGAGTATAGTGGCAATCATTAGTGTAATAACCAAAGTTGAGTATCTTTAAGAGACAGCTGGCTTTTAGTCTATCCAAGCATTAAGTAGTTTAGTCTTGTATTAAACGTTAAATTTTAATAAAGTTTTAGTACGTGGTTATTAAAATAAAAAAAAAATAAAAAAAAAATATTTTTGTTGTATAATTATACAAAAATATTTTTTACAATTTTACTTTACTTTAACTTTAAATATTAATTTTAATTTAATTCTAATTATAATTTTAACTTTAACTTTATTTCTAATTATCTAAAGCATAGCTGAGAACACTATACTTCTAGACATTTGAAATCTGTCAGATTTTGTGATAGTGTCTGTCATGGCATATAACCAATATCATTTATTTTACATTTAATTTACTATGCATATATTACTTTTTTCCTTTTTTATACATGAATACATCCTTCTAGCTAAGCCTTTTTTATTATCTTTCTTATTTCTTAATGTTAAACTCTTTTATCTCATATTGCAACTATGTCTTTACTATTTTTAACAAAAAATAAGTCTACCATATTCTAGCCCAAATTCAATTTACCTCGCCCAATCGGTATTACCCTCTTGCCCTCTTTATTTAACCCATCTTTTTATCTAATAACCAGCTAACTTCACTTTATTTCTTACTTTTTAACTTTGCTATATCTCTTTAGTACTTGTCTACTTTAGTATGTATTATGATTTGTATTTATAAATTACTTTATACAGGTACTAGTTCAAAAATAAGTGGTGCTTTGCGCTATCCATCTTATACAGAATTTAAAAATTATTACAGTATATACATTACGTGGTTAGAATCTATTAGAATTATTGTAATTTTTATTTATTGAAAAAAAAAGTGCTAAAGAACTTACTTGTTTATGCAACAAATACATTGGTCGAAATTGAGCTTGTTTATATTAAATTTGTTACAATTTCTATTATTAATTATTGTAAAATGTTCTTGTCTGGTCACCAGGTATGTGAGCCGCCTTAGTTGTATATTCTTTGGTTACTTCGATAATATAACTAGGGGAAGATCCTAGAATGAGATTTAAAAAAAAAAAACAAATATGAAACAGAAACACCAACTTTAAAATACCAATATATAATACTGGAAATAGTACTATATGTACTCTGAAAAACTTAGTTAAAAGTTTTAATGCCCATAACCTGTGAGACCCACCAATTAGAGGAGTATCTGTTATCAAGTCCTGCATACATATTATCAACACTATACATAATAAGGAAGATTGTGCTTAAGATACAAACTGGATTATAGCAGCATTACAAATAATGGCTTGAGATATGAACTCAGTAATGGCAGACAACATGTACTATACCAATCTGGAAGTAGCTATGAGGTTACGCTTGCCTAGTGCCCCCTAGTGAGATTTGTAATGGATACCGCACTGGAACCATATTGGGAGTGTAAAGTTGTTAGTATGAGAAATGTGGAGAATATATTAGGGTTAGAATAGGATATTTAATTAGTGGTATACAAAATCCAGGTAATATATGAGTGGGACATGGACAGCTCTGGTAGGTATAGATTGTAGATAATTAGTCTAAGCCACTATTCTATTAATTGTTGTATTAATGTATGTAATTCATATACATATATACTTAATAAATAACATAAAGCAAGATCTTATCTTAAAAAAAAAAAAAAAAAAAAAAAGTAAAATATTCTGTCGTTAAAAATTTTTACTTCAGTAATTGTTAGTGTTCTGTATGAACTGGTTCTGAGTGGGTTTTTTAAGGACTCAAACCAAAAACCAGGTCAGGTCCAAAATGAGACCCGAAACCGAAAAAACTTGGAACTGCCAGAATGTAGCCAATTAGCATGTATTATTTGGTTCGGTTTGGGTCTAACTAAAGATCCAGAACTGGTTTATTCTAAAAATCATAGACCCGAACCCAAATTGGGGGTCGGTTCTGGTTCGGTTCTGCAAAACACTAGTGACTATAATATAAGTTAATATTATTATGTTTTTTGTAGTTGTAGTTATTATATAAAATTCTGTTGCAAAATTTATTTGCCATTTCAGTAAGTTAGTTTGTATTGAAAATTTCATGATTTCTATTATGGAATACTATAAAAATTCTATAACAGAACTTACTATTCCGACGACTATAGTATATTATTAAAGTTAGTTTGTATTAGAATTACTGTAAATTCTGTATTCAAAATTTCTCAATATTCTGGTAACTGCAGCTTGGTTGAGTTGGTTTGTATTGGAATTATCGAGATATAGTTAAGTTTGAGTTAGTATATATTAAAATTATTTGTGATTTCTATCACTTTATAAAATTTTTCGAAAAATGTATCTTGACTTTCTCCAGACTATCAATTTATTGATTGTTTTGGGAAATACTCATTTTTTATAACAAACCATATACAAATTTCTTGTAATTTTATAGAATTTTGATAAATTCTGTGTAAAAATCAAATATAAATAAAATCCAGCTTCTAATTGCACCTTGACACACTAAATTAAGGTAGAGTGGTTGATAGAAATCGAAAAAGACCTCTGCTTTACAGAATTTACTATTTTGATGACAACTTAATACATTAAGATTGTTATGATTTCTACTATAAGCTAATATAAAAAATTGTTATTGATCTTGCTCACTATTCTAGAGATCATATTATGTAGTTAAAATTACGTTAGCTTAATTGGTATGACTAGAAGAATTCAATTACAAAACCTACTTGCTATTCCAGTATACATAACATGCAGTTAGAATTGAGTTGTTACCGATTACAAAATATTTGCTATTTTGGTGATCTCAGTACGTGGTTAAGATTAAGTTAGTTTGCATTGTAATTATATGTAACGGTAAAAAATTCTATTGCAAAACTTACTAACTATTTTAGTAAAACACAGTATGCAATTAAAGTCTTTGTGAATTATTGTTAAAAATTTTGTTATAGAACTTTGCTTACTAATGTAAATCACATTGGCTAAGGTTGAGTTAGTTTGTATTAGAATTTTCGTAATTTATATTGCAAAAAATTCTATACAAAACTTGTTATATGATCAGTAGTAGCAAAAACGATCCTTGGTCCTGTGATTTTTGAGTAAAATATATCCAATAAAAACTCTGAATATTATATATAAAATTAATCACTACAATATTTCATAATCTAAAAATTGCTCAGAAGTCACAGTACCAAGAATTGTTTTTTGCTACCACTGATCCATCTTATTTAGTTAGGGTTGAATTAGTTTGTTCGCATGTCTTGATTTTACGTATCAATGATCAATTTATGATATTAATTTGAATAATCAGAATGTCGCAATAATTGCAAATCGAATAATTAATAATTTTATGTATACTTATGTAAATTTTTCCACATTCAGGTTACATTTTTCAAATACAACTAATAAAAAACGTTAAAGTTTACAAATCCAGAATTGAGTTATAAAGAAGATAGTCATCATTATTCTTATATTCTGATCACGTTTTTTTGGTTATGCCAATTCAAAATGGTAAATTCTCACACTCAGATGTTCTCTAAATATGACCAATCAAGAATTTGTTGAATGATATCATGTGATCTACTTATCCAATCATCATACAAAGTTCCATGTTGATCCAAATGTGCATTATTTTATAATAGTATTTAAATATATTTAATTTATTAAAAAACCTTTTATTAAAGAACACAAGAAATTTAAAGCTATAATTGTTCGACCAAACACTTCAAACTATTCAGGAGGTTTTATATTCTCAGGTCTGGTAATAACAACTTTTTACCAAACTGAAAAAACAAATAATGCAAATGAATCTCTTAAAGAGTATTATGAATAATAAGCAAGTATTTATGTTTCACTATAAATTTGTTTTTTTGAATCAATTTAATCGTTGTGACCCTAATTCAATATATTAGCTAATCCTTTAGCTGTTGGTCGGTTCAGAGGTGTAGTGTCTAAACATTTTTTTATTAGATCTTTATGTTTATATGTTGAATAATATGAATGACGTATTATCCTTTGAGGTAAATATTTATGTTCTAGATTTGTGAGTTTGTTTGCTGAATTTGTTCTGTGATTCAATTCTAACTAATTAATTGGTGATCCACCAGTCAACCAGAGAATGAACCTGAAATTAAAATTTGAAAACAAAATTGTTTTTGACCTATTTTACTTAAAAGACAAAATTTTTTGACACTTTTTTTGAATAAATAAAATTATAAGGAGTATAAATATATAAATTTTATTTGCTTTTTCTTATAAAAAATTTTAATTTGCTCTAATGGAGATGAAATAGGCCTTTTTTGAAAATTAATTTTGGTGGTATCACTAATCAATGATACCTATTCGATGGTATAAAGATTCACATCAAGATGTAATACCCGAAGGAGATATAGTAGTATTTAATTATGAAAAAAGTGTTAGCGATTTAGATCTGGGTAATAGAGTTTTTCCAACATGAAAATCAGTTACAATTCCAGTTACTGTTTCTATTACAAAAAATGCCATTTATAAAAGAAATCGTTACAGGCATATTTGGAGACTTGCACAAGAAGCCACCTTACTTGCTATAGATAATGATGATGGCGAGATAGTTCAAATCCTAACAAACTATATCAATAAAAAGAAGAATAAGAACAATGAACTATCTATAATTCGACAGACTACTACAGCTAATCGGAAACAAGACAGCACAACTAACCAATCATTTTTATCTGAGGAGGATATAGATGAAGATATTGATCAAGATACTTGTGGAACACTAACAGAAGATGAACATATATTTGAAAGATCAGCCGCCTCTACTTCTAAACATGCTTTAAACTTCACCAACATTTGAAATCCTACTAAGGTTGTTGGTAGAGGAAGACCAAAGAAGTATAGATATGTTAGTAGTATTAAAATAAAATAGCAAAAATGTGAAGGAAATTCAACTCGAGGATCATACAAGTGTCATACCTGTGGCGGAGTTGGTCATAATTCAGCATTTCATAGAAAAAAATAAGATAGAAAGTAGTCAAAGTTATTCTAGCAAAAAAAAAAACACATTGCTCTTATCTGTTATAAAAAAGAAGTATAATCTAGAAGTAACTACATATATGTAATAAAATTTTATATTGCATTTGAGTTATCAGGGTATATAAATATCATTTCATGAACGTATAAATTAGATATTTGTAATACGTACTATCACTATAGAATCTAACCATATTACTAAAACATGTAAAATTACCTGTTACTCTTTAGCGTTATCGTGTTGTAGAAAATCGTTACATTTGCATAAGTTACAAATCACGTGCCAATTAAATAACTTTTATATGATGCAACATATAGTGGTATCACACCCAAAAGCAATATATAATTTTATTGCAGGGTGCGATATATTAATTTCAATATTTATTTTATTCTTGCTTGGTAAATTATAAATTCAAAATATCAATCATTTTATTTTAAACTCTAAATCAGGTTGTGAAATAATCAATGTTATAGGCGATCAGTAATCTTGATTTAGGGTTTAAAATAAAATAATTGCTTGAGAATTATTCAAGTTTACCAGTATAGTTGCAGCAAACATTTGAATCTGCAAAGTTAGGTAGACCATAAGGAAATGATAAATCAAAAGCCAATAGAAATAGATGATTCTTCGGTTATCATTGGCCACTACTTACAGTATTCTTAAAAATAATGCCTTCATTATTAAGATTCGGGTATTACTCTCTATCTTTAATTTGTTGAATAAGAGCCAGAGATATAACTAAAATGCAGAATTAGACAAAAAATATAGAAGAATATGTATAAATATATTAAGCTTTGAAACACACTCTTCCAGCTATGATCAAAGAAGTGTTAATAGCACACAATACTCAAAACCACAGCAAAGAGAACTCATACTATGGCATATATTAATATGGTCTATAAAATTTGGTTCTGGTATGTAAACGAAAAACGGGAAAAAAGTCCTTTACCTGAACCATGCTTCTATATATACTGCAAGATAGACTTTCTAAAGAATTCTAGGTAATAATGCGTAAGTCCAAACTAAACACGGAAGTAAGTGCATACTTAGCTACAAAAAATATTTATTTAGTAAATTAATAAATAAATAAAGAAAGTACCACCTCCCTGTCATAAATACAGCCATATGCCATGTATAATATTTACATATAAAGTCTAATAAGAAATGCTCAAGGAAATCTATTTATAATGGGAAAAAATATATATGCGAAAAACTTATTTATTATTGGGAATAATGCTGAAATTTAGGGTTTCTATTAAAATATAAATTCAAATTTCAGCATTATCCCGACATTTATTAGTATTTGAACGCTTTGTGTTCATTTTTTTTGATACTGATTTTTTCTTTAATATTGACTGAAATATAATATAACTTGCTTTATTGTAACTAACTAGCATCTAACCCGTCGCGTTGCTCCGGATTCAAATATAAAATATTTAGTTAATTTAAACCAAAAAAATTATTATAAAATATATATAGTAAATACTAATTTTAATATCTCTGATTAAAACTCTGGTATTATTCTATTCTATTTCTTGAATAAGACCCATGGTATACCAATATTGATTTACTACTTTTAATATGATATATCCCAAATATGCATCTGGTTCTTCATACAGTAAAGTATCCACGGGTTTTAACATCAATACATATTATGTTAAAATTTGTGCAACAATAATAAGAAACATGTGTTATAGCAGTGGCCAATCATATTGTATTTTTGTCTCATAATGTTTGTCCCATAGTGTTTGTTTCATAGTGTTTATCTCACAGTATTTATCGTTATAGTATTTATCTACACTATTATATATTATATATTGATTTAATTACAAAATAATAAACTACATACGTATGTTGTAAATTTGTAACTTGAAACAAAGTGTCATTTGCATTACGTAGTATAGTAAAATCTATTTTTTATAATAACTCAGGTATTGTGAATAAGTCCTGTAATAGGATTTTTTTAAGATTAAATCGTATTAATTCTAATGTGAACCAATTCCATTTTAACTACTTATTGCTATATATAGCTGAAAAGTTTTGTAATAGAACTTTTTTAAATAAAATGAGTGGCGCATAAGTGCCACTTATTGCAAAACCTCTATATAGTCACTTTTCATATTTTGTACTATAATTGTAACTATATAGAGGTTAACTCTATATTAGTCACACCTCTTTACAATCACGGTTTTTTGTATCCCAAAGGTGTGACTATAGAGAGGGATGACTGTATGACTATAATAAATTACCCTAATAACTAGGATTTTCTTGACTCTATATTTAACTTATTAAAATCCATTTATACTTGTAGAAATTTAGTAAAGCAACATATGTATAATTGCTAATTTATTTATTTTGTTTTGTTTAAAATAAAAAATTTACATTTATTAATTAAGATTCACTATATTACTCTATGTTTATTCTATTTTGTATAAAATTACAATTATATAACATGTAAATTAAAAATCTAAAATATTAAATAAAAATTTCAAATTTTCATTATCAATAATTATCTAATTTGCTATATTTTGCTTAATTCTATGTTAAAGTTGATAATGTTGCCTAGTCGTTATTGATTGTTCATTTCATTTGCTGATGTTGAGAGAAATATATTGAAAAAAAACCCTCCTGCTGATTCATAACAATTGTGATGCTTAACAAGACCAGTAGATCAGGAATGCCGATTAAAACAGTTCATATTAATAAGATTTTAAAATACTTTATGCTACTATATAAGTGCCACAAAGGGAAAACTTTAATTCTTATCAAATGAATAACTGTTGATGATTCTAAATAAAATAATAATAATATTTTTTAAATAAATTAATATAACATTGTTTTTATGAATTAATTGAAAATAGATACCTTTAATCGCTTTTGAAATTAATTTTGTGCTATATAATAATTTTGCTAGTGTACATTCCATCAGAATGTATTTGTATTAACGATAATTTAATAACATTAGCATCCAAAAACTGTTTTTTGATTTCATTATCATCTGAACTAGCTATCTTCTTAAGCCAAAATTCAATTTCTTGGTTAATATCTAAAGTGCTAAATTATTTTTGTGGATCAGAATTCATACATTTCTCAGCCAATTCAATAAAGTATTTAGAAGTTCAAGATGCAAACTCTGGTTACAAATCTCTATTCCAAGTTTAGCATTAAATTTGCGTTCATCAAAAGGTCTTTGCCCAGTTGATATTTCTGCTATAATAACACAAAACCCATAAATATCTGCTACTTGTATAAACTGTTTCTTGTCTGATAAAACTTCTAGTACAGCATAAAGCATAATCCGATAAATTTTTTCTAAAATAATATCGCTTATTTAGAATAGCATTTTTAATTGTCAAACCTTATAAAAAAAAAAAGAATAATATAAAAATTGAATCTGATATACCTTTCTCCATTCTTTAAAAGTATTATCTCTACTTTGGACAGCCAGATCTGTATCGTTTTTGATCAGTTGTAATTCTAAACAATCCAAGATCTGTAATATAAATAGGTTGGTTTTGCAAAATGTTACCACATAAAAATCTGCATAAATGTATTTTGTATATATAGTAGTGAATAAAAGTAAGTTTTAGATTGTGGCAGATCTAAAATATTAATGAGAATAAAATAAATGGCAATTAATAAGTAAAGATCATAGAAGATCTAAAATATTAATTATTATTAACAAGAATAAAATAAATTTAAAAGTATACGATAAAATAAAGTATTTTTTTATATGTATATAATAGTGTTATAACACTAAGTATTGCTATTTTAAAGTTTAAGACTAAAAATAAATTTTATATCAGATACACGATTTGTATAACTGATAGATGCTTAACTTTTTTAAAAACTCGAATATCGAGTTTTTACTCAATTTTGTCAAGCACTAGAGGTAAGCCAAAATGCACACTTTTTATTGAAAAATTTTGGTAGAACCGGCACAAAATGACAAAGAGAGAAAGATCTCTTGATACTATTTAAAAGAAAGTAAGTTACTAGAAACAACAAAAATAGTTTTCCTTCTAGCCAAAACTGTGATACTTATATTTTGTCAGTAAATGATAAACTCTGAACTTGTTAGCAGGTAGTGTATGAGAACTATCTCTAAACAACAAGCGCCGGGTTTGTAGTGGGTGATAAACTCTAAGCCTGTCAGCAGATAGTATATGAGAACTACCTCTAAATGACAGGTGCTGTCTTACTGTTCCTCTTTTCACATCTTATGTACTCTGGCTAGTCGGTTTCTACTATTTTTGTTGAAAAGTTTTTTCAGCAAAATTTGGTTCAAGTAATCATCGGAAAGAGTTTATATGATCTGTATAATCATGATACTATTGTTATATATAACAAATAATGAAAAATATTTTGTATGGAATTTGATCAGGAGATGTCTGGGCCCCAAAGGGGCCCAGACATTAACCAGTCAAATTTTATACAAAATATATCAGTTATTGGTGTAGAGCATTTAATAACAATATTATCCAGCTTCCTACAGCGATCAGAGTATTTATTTATTATGAAAATTAAGTTAATGATATAAACAATAATAAATTGAAATTTTTAATATAATTTTTTTTTTTTACAAATAACTTTTTATCTTTGTATTATCTTTTTTTTTTCTCTCTTTCACTCTTGATTTTTTTATTTATACAAAATGAACAAACCTATTATATTAAAAAAAATAAAATAAACTACAATAACCATATAAATCTAAATATCACAAAGCTAACTAATAACATATTTATTTCTGCAAACAATTGAAAAGCCACGGCAAAATAGTAAAGATTTTAGAAGCATAGCAGTATAATATAATTATAACTATGACTTTAAATCTATTACAAATAAGAATGCAATTTATATAAACAATTTATAAACGAATGTTATGTAATTCTCAAGAATATGTAACTTAGCAACAATTAAAAAATAAATTTCAAGTAAACATGCAATTTATAACAGCATCAAAAGTTTTTTATTCTTACACCATTTCGATCAACTTTAAAAGATTCTTTGATGGTGAATTTTCTATTATACTGTATTCAGCATTATCATATTCAGGACTATCGAATAGATTCAAAACCATATTATATTTGGGTTTGTCAACCATTTAATTAGAAATAGTATCATTTGTTAAAAATTACAAATAAATAAATAAATAAATATTAATTTATATATATCTTATAATTAAAATATAACAATAACAATAGAAACAAATAAATAAAATACTTAGCTTATATATAAAGCTTATCCAATTGTAAAATTTAAATCAGTACAAGTTACTCAAACAAGCAAAATCATAGAAACTATTATAAGTATATTATGCCAAATAACTCGAATTATTTAGTAGGCCCGATCATAGTAGGATAATTTTAATTATTAAAATTTTTATAATTTTATAAATAAAATTTTAACTTTGTATAATAGCAAAGATTTTTTTTTATGAACAAAAACATATAAAAATTTAAAAATTAATAAAAAATATTTTAAAAATTTAATAGTAAAATTTTAGAATTGGCTATATTTCAAACTAAATAATCTTAATACTATTTAAATTAAATTTAAAATTTTACTTAATATTAATTAAAAGGAGTTAAATATATATCGCACCCTGCGATAAAATTATATATCGCTTTTGGGTGTGATACCACTATATGTTGCATCATATAAAAGTTATTTAATTAGCATGTGATTTGTAACTTATGCAAATGTAACGATTTTCCACAACGCGATAACACTAAAGAGTAACAGGTAATTTTACATGTTTTAGTAATACGGTTAGATTCTATAGCGATAGTATGTATTACAAATACCTAATTTATACATTCATGAAATGATATCCGTATACCCTAATAATTCAAATGCAATATAAAATTTTATTACATATATGTAGTTACTTCCAGATCATACTTCTTTTTTATAACAAATAAGAGCAATGCATTTTTTTTAGCTAGAATAACTTTGACTACTTTCTATCTTATTTTTTTCTATGAAATGCTGAATTATGACCAACTCCGCCACAGATACGACACTTGTATGATCCTTGAGTTGAATTTTCTTCACGTTTTTGCTATTCTATTTCAACACTACTAACATATTTATGCTTCTTTGGTCTTCCTCTACCAACAACCTTAGTAGGATTTCGAATGTTGGTGAAGTTTAAAGCATGTTTAGAAGTAGAGGCGGCTGATCTTTCAGATATATGTTCATTTTCTGTTAGTGTTCCACAAGTATCTTAATCGATATCTTCATCTATATTCTCCTTAGATGAAAATGATTGGTTAGTTGTGCTGTTTTGTTTCTGATTAGCTATGGTGGTTTGTCAAATTATAGATAGTTCATTGTTCTTATTCTTCTTTTTATTGATATAGTTTGTTAGGATTTGAACTATCTCACTATCATCATTATTTACAGCAAGTAGGGTGGCTTCTCGTGCAAGTCCCCAAATATGCCCGTAATGATTTCTTTTATAAATGGTATTTTTTGTAATAGAAACAGTAACTAGCATTGTAACTGATTTTCGTGTTGGAAAAACTCTATTACCCAGATCTAAATCGCTAACACTTTTTTCATAATTAAATACTACTATATCTTCTTCAGGTATTACATCTTGATGTGAATCTTTATACCATCAAATAGATATCATTGATACATGAAAAGCCGATATACTTGAATGCATCATTACACAAAAGTAATGGCAGCAAATAATGCTTTTGTTGATACTTATTAAACATAAGCATAAGAAGGAAATTGGATTAACAACTACCACGAAGTGAATGTTGTTTTTTTTCATTATACAGATCTGTTACTTTCCAAATTTCCTTTATCTCTTCGCTTCTGATCTCATCAACTATAACTTGGAGTGTTATATTTCTTGCATCGTACTGATCTTCTATAAATTCGTTCCGGATTTGTTTAACAGTTTCCTATTTTGTATTATTGTTGTTAGCATTATTTAATACACACATCTAAGATTATTAACATCTTATATATTACCTGTTCTCAAATAGTGTTCAAAGATAAGCCGGCTTATCACGGCTTATCACGTGATAAATTCGAAGTTGTCATCAAGCCATGTGATATCTTCGAATTTATCACGTGATATTTTCGTGATTATCACATGACTTGGCGATAAATTCGAATTTATCACATGATAAGCCGCAGCAAGCCGTGATAAGCCGGCTTGTCTTTGAACACTATTCTCGAACCAAATCTTCATTTATAGGCTCAAACTTTCTCGTACCAAAAAAAAGACACTGGCATATTTCCGTTTTGATCATGTTACTGATCGCCTCAGTTAGATATTCATCTATTACCTTGACTACTGCAGGAAAGAGCATTTGTCTGGCTGTAGATGTTGTTGCCGTTGTAGTCATTAATTTGTATTCACGAAATTGTTTCCATTAGGTTTTATCTTTTAACTGTTGATCTAAACGATTGGCAAGTTCACATAATGTGCTATTTGCTACTAGTTCCCTTTTAATAATCCAGTTGTATTCTTCTACACAAGAGATGCTTTGAATACTGGCAGTAAAAACCTTATATAAATAAGCACATACCCAGGATTGACGGTTAGGATAAAGAGCTCTGAGTAGATAATCGTTGGCTGCTGGATAATTTTTAAGTAAATTTTTCCACCATTTTTCAAACAAAGGTACACATAAGCTATTTCTATACTCATAAAACTTTTTCATAAATTCATTTCATTTATTTCCTAGTTTTGACTTTAAATTTTTAGGAAGATTTTGCCCTATGTGAAATATGCAGTGGGCTACATGTGTTGTTGGGAATGTAGCTGTGATAGCAGCATTTAAGGCAGGGTCTGCATCTGTAAAGATCACAATAGGTGGCTTTTGTGTAGCCTTATTAACACATTCAAGAATCTATGCATACGTTTCTAGTGTTTCATTACTGACTAGTGCCTGTTTCACGAGTCTTGTTTTATTATTGTTGTCAACAATAATAAAAAGAGATAAAGGCATACGATATTGGTTGGTTTGTATCATGTTATCATTGATTACTATGTTGTAATACTTTAACCAAAGATTAATTTGTTCTGGTAACATCCAGAAGAATCGTACCAAATGATTTTCTTCATCTAATTCAAATTCAATAGCCCAACGTGGATTATTTACGTTTTTTCCATTAATGAAGTAAGTAGAGTTGATGTGTCATTTTTCTTACTAAAATTATTTGTTCTCTTTATTTTACTAATAGCATTAGCAAGGTTGTTATCATAAATATTTAAATCTGGAAAGTGAGCTCTAAGAAGCTTTTTTTGTGATGTAATTGATAAGTTTCCATGGTTTGACATTATTTCAATTTCTTTTATAGCTTCTTCATTTAAGGATCGATACTTAAGTTCAAATTTATAGGTTTCTGGTACAAGGATATAGTTATGTTTATTAACCAGTGTTGTAACCCGGATCTTAAAATCGGTTTAGCTCAGCAAAAGGTTATAGTGCCAAGAGCAGTTTTGCTTTTTTGTTCTTGTATTACGTTGTGTTCTATTTTGGGCTGCTACCAAACTTTTTTTAGGTTTGTATGTCTTGTAGAATTCACAGCAAAAAGTTCTATTTTGTACTATTTCTGTTTTAGAACTTTTTTTTCTATATTTATTGACTGTAAATCCATTTCATATACTATAATCTAAAAAGAATGCTTCAACCTCGTCCCATGAATCGAAGTTCATTTTTTTAGATATGTCTTCTGACATTATAGTAACTAACAAAAATATTTTTATTAGCACCAAATAGAATTATAAGCTAAATGATTATGTAGTATTGGTAAGCATATCTTATTATTTATTTTTGGCATATATGTTTTATTGATTTCACTATCTTTGATTATATCTATATCACTTGTACTCACTTTTATGCTATTTGAGGAGTTATCAATTTCAATGTCTTTTGAATTCATATAATTAGCTTCTATGTTTTCGCAATTCTCAAATGCCATTATAGAATTCATTAATTCGATCAACTCAGATTCTGAAGCAGCTGATATGTTTATTAAGTTAATTGAGGTAAATGAAAGATGTTGTGATTTAATGCTTTTATTTGTTTTGAAAGCATGCAGTATATAGTTGTATCACATGTTAGAATTGGCCAATAAAATCTAGGTGCGATAAATAATCGTATAGCACTTTATGTATTTTATTGTAAAACTTCTGAACATCATTAGCACAAAACAACTAGCATTAATTTTAGTACGCCAATCGTTAGTGCTTTTACTTTGGTAAAAATTTATAAAACAATTTGGATAATTTAGGAATTTTAAACCATCTAAAAACAAATCTTTTATTTTAGGGATAATTCGAAATCTAACTTTAGTGATGCTAGATACTTTTTGAAAAGCCTGCCAATGAAGTGACAAAGCAATTAATATTGCGAGATTAGATAACTATGAGATTACATATTCAAGTTGAAATTTGCATATGGTCTTGTAGTATATGTTAGATGCAGGTTAATATGATGATTGCATAAATGTAATTTGTGTATATAAGCCGATTTAAAGTTGCAAGGTTAGAGCAAAAATTGGGGCAAAGTTTTAGGAAAACTGCATATAAAATTTGAAACAAGCCGGGTCATTTAAGATCATTTGTTTGTGATCTAGTAATATAAATAGGTAAGTAACTTGAATTTAAATTTGTATGAGTGGGTACGATCTTTATATAGAGAAGTTCGAGATAAAATCATAAGCTTAATTTAGGGTTTGTTTAACCCAATTTAACTTAATCTTAATACTACGTAGCTTATTTAGTAAAACTTTAATGTTTGTTAAGTATTTGTTGTATTATTAATTTGTTTTAATATATTTTATTAATAAAAACTTAAGTGCGATAAATAGTTGTATAGCACTCTGCGATAATTATATTTATCCTTGAAATTAAGCTTTAATTTAGTTAAGTAAAAAGTTGAATGATTATGTGCCAACAAGGTGATAATAATTCATGTGTTTGCTATACCAGTTAAGATTGAGTTAGTTTGCATTTAAATAATTTTTAATTGATTGAAAGTAGTTTAGTTCATTATCTTGATGAAAAAAAGTTTGAAAATATCCTTTTTTTATAGATTTATTCTGATTAGCTAAATTTATTATTTGCACTTGCATTATAAATCTCCAGCAAAATTACAGTAAAGATCGCTTCAATTAATTGTAGTATTTATGCACTATTTCAGTAACTAATCACATTGAGAGCACTAAGTTTAGCGATTATTTATTAGTCTAATTTGTCTAAGTATTTAATATAAGCTGTTTACATCTCATTTAGATTCTTATCCACATTAGTTTGCGCTAATAACATTTCTAAAATTATACAGATTGGTATAACCAAATCCGTATAGTATGGTATGAACTACCTCTACTTTTAATATCTGTTCTGGTGTTGTATATCATTTAGTGTTATCATATTTTATGTTTTTAAAGAGGTATTTTACAATCTATACTATATACACTTAAATTCTTAAAACATTATTGTTTGTTTAAATTATAGCATCTCATATTAGTATAGTTATACTGTATTTGTTGTACATCTGATAGTTGTTTATCTAAATTTAAATATATATATCTATTCTATATTGGAGTTGCCTAATATTTTCTAATTAAGCTTATATTTATCTGTTTCTGGTATAACACAACGTTGTTTAGCAACTTATTTATTGTGTGATTTTATAAAGAGTAATTTTATATAAATGCTATACAATTGGTTAACAAAAAAATATAATAGTGACTATAAGGCATTTGTGCCTATATAAAGGTATAAATAATATAAAAAAAGGTTGGTAAAAAAAAAAAGTGATTATATTGAGGTTGTGACTATAAAGGAGGTAATTATAGAGGGGATAACTATATAATAAAATGTCTACTCAGGTACAATTTCTAGTCAAATAGAAACCCTTCACAACAAAAAATCAACTCAACTTTTAAAAATTATACCCAGGAAGAATTTGCTATTATATGACTATAGTAACTTATCAGGATAACCTGGGTAAATTAATAATATCTGGGTTGAGATTTTTTCTATATGTACAAGTTCCAGGTACAAACTCTAGTTGCGATCTCTTGCAAATTTCCAAGTTTAGTATTAAATTATACTTGTACAAGATTTTGCTACAACAAACCTTTTACTGCAAGCTGCATAACAATAATATAATTACTATGATTATTTTTTGATGCTCCAATACAGTTCAAGAACAAAAGATTCTTGTAACCAATTTCATAATAATTTTCAATTCTTGGATAAATCCTTGCTCATTTTTGTTTGAATCACGAATCACTTTAAGTACAACAGACCGCCATATACCATTAATTCTATACACTATATACATTCATTAAAAGGTCTTTGCCTAGTTGATATTTCTGCTATAATAACACAAACTATAATTATCTGTTGCTTGTGTAAACTATTTCTTGCCTGATAAAACTTCTGGTGTAGCATAAGGTATAATTTTATAAATTTTTCCTAAAATAATATCGCTTATTTAGAATAGCATTTTTAATTGTCAAACCTTATAAAAAAAAAAAAAGAATAATATAAAAATTAAATCTGATATACCTTTCTCTGTCCATTAAAAGTATCATCTCTACCTTGAATAGCCAAATCTGTATCACCCCTAATCAGTTGTAATTTTAGACAATTCAAGATTTGTGATATAAGTGGGTTGGTCTTGCAAAACATTGCCATATGAAAATATGTATGAACGTATTGTATATATAGTAGTGAGTATATAGCTTGTGGCAGATTTAAAATATTAATGAGAATAAAATAAATGGCAATTAATAAGTAAAAGTAGGATATAGATCGTGGCAGATTTAAAATATTATTATTAACAAGAATAAAATAAATTTAAAAGTGTATGATAAAATAAACTTTGATTATAGTATTTTTTTATATATGAAAGCGCAAAGTACTATCACTATTTCAAAGTTTAAGATTAAAAATAAATTTTTATCCGATACACGATTTGTGTAACTGATAGATGCTCAACTTTTTCAAAAACTCAAATATCGAGTTTTTGCTCGATTTTGCCGAGTACTACTTACTCTCTCCAAAAGATTGGCATTGTTTACACCTACCAAATCAGGATAAACTCAGTAGAAAGCAACTACATGTTTTGTTGTTTTGTGCTATGGTACAGGGAAGAGATTACACCCCCTTTTAGGAGATACCCGACTCGAGTCGATACCCAAAATGAGTCCCAAAGCTAAACTGGAGGTTTACAATCAAGATATAGTAATCAGTTGCAATTATTATATAACTTTTATCTTTATACCTGGCACAGGCTATAATAGTGTATCATGGCTACCTTTTTTTTTTTTTTTTACTTTTTTCATCTTTGTTCATTTATGTTAGACTATTTTAAAATGTGTTGAAAAGTTTTTTTTTTCTCACTGTGAGATGTTTTTTTTTTCTAAAATATTTATGTCTTTCGTAAACATAGCTATATTTTTTATTTTTATGTACAAATAAGGGTTTAATTATGTTGTTGAGCTTAGGTGAAAGAAGTCTAAAAAAAGGGAGAGGTGGTCATGATAGGCAGTAGGTACCATCTGTTGAGATCTGAGTCATATCCAATTGCAGGAAGAGTTCAGAAGGAGGAGAATCCTACTATAGTAGTTGAACATAAATGCCAAGTTGGTAACCAGATTAGTTGTAACTTGTAATTTAGATAACAATGTGGGCTATAGCACTTGTCGTTTAGAGATAGTTCTTATATACTATCTTGCTGACAAGTTTTAAGTTTATCACTTATCTTCTAAAATGTCTAGTTGTAAAATTTTACATATTCTAGAAGAATTGTACAAAGCTTAATAAAGTTAAAGCATGACTGCCAAATTATTAAAAAAAAAAGATTATACAGATCATAATACAATTGTTATATCATGCCAAATAATTTGTTATTGGATACTTCGCATCCAATAACTATATATTATTTTTTAAAGGTAGGGTGTATATAGATCATTTTCTATATAATCACCATGGTAATACATAGTAAATAAAACTATGTTATTAATAAAACTTTTTAATGTTTTGGTTGATCATTATCAAAATTTTATAGTATGTAATTTAGAATAGTTTATTTATAATAGTAAAGTTATAAAGTATAAATTTATTTTTAAAAATTAATTTTTTTAGTTCTTAATAGAGCTGACAAGGGTTGGTGCGACAAGTCACATCTGGGCACACATAATATAGCCAGGTGATGCTGTGCTTATAATTGTTAATTAGATATTATTAGAAATCTTTAAACTTTGTTTTTAGTCTAGTAGTAATATAATTTGTATTTGAGCACTGACAAGACTGTCAAAGAATTAAAAAAAAAAAAAAAAAAAATATTCTTAAATTTAATTGATTAATATATTAAAAATGTATTTAGAGAAAATATTTTTATATATATAATTTGAAAAATAATCTGCATTTAGAGAATATAAAACATGCACTTATTTTATAAGTCCAACTTGGGACTAGGCTATTTTCATGTATATAGAGAGAATATGCACTTAGAAGTTATGCATTTAGAGAGAGTCGACTATATAATTTTCTTTATTACTAAAGCTCTAATGTATTCTTGTAATATGCTATAAAAATAGCTGAATAAAAAAAAAACCATATTCAAAATCTGTTAAAAGTGGAATTTGAATAGGCAAAAGATTCTGGATTTGGCTACAAAAACAATATAAGCGGCTAAAAATAAAAGGATCTACTAAAGTAGTAATTACAATAGGTAGTGAGATTTTGACACTATTATGAAAATATATAGGCCAGCTAAAAACAAAAACAAGATGTTAGTAGTAGTTAAAGTAACAATTCCAATAGACAATAAGGTCTTAAGTAGGCAGCACTATATATATAGTGCTGCCTACTTACATTAGACTGTTACCTACTTATGAGAGTGACGAACAATTCGCGCTTGCGTCATCATTCGAGTGATGAACGATTCATGCTTGCATCGTCATTCAAGTGATAAACGATTCGCACTTGCGTTATCATTCGAGTGACGAACGATTCACGCTTGCGTCGTCATTCAAGTGACAAACGATTTGTGCTTGCGTCATCATTCGAGTAACGATTAGTTCACGAGTTCGTCATCATTCGAGTGACAATTAGTTCACACTTGCATCGTCACACTTGGGTATCTCACAACCTATAAAAATTATGACGATGATTTTATGTTCGCATCGTCACATTTAGATACCTCATGATCTATAAAAAATATGCTAACGATGCATTCAGTCGTGTGTCCACCCAAAGCATAATTTTTTATAATATATATCTGTAATAATTTTACCTTGGGTAGACACCGATTTTTCTTTGCTAACGATGCATTCAGTCACGTGTTGTCATTTGCGGGTCCAGTGTGAGGGCTATGCCTGCACGTAGTGCCGAATTGTTATCGTTTATTTTGTGTCCACCCAAAGCATAATTTTTTATAATATATATCTGTAATAATTTTACCTTGGGTGGACACCGATTTTTCTTCGAATTATGCGACTTCGAGCAATGAAATTGCGAGAAGGCGAAATCCCTGAAATTTTTCGTGACCAATACTTATCGATAAATTGTTATCGTTTATTTTGTGTCCACCCAAAGCATAATTTTTTATAGGGCTTTGCCCATGCTTCGCATAATATATATCTGTGATAATTTTACCTTGGGTGGACGCTGTTT